TTAACTCATTGTCAGATATTATTAATTTTAATTTTCTTATATAATTTTTATATAACGCAGAAAACTATATTTTGTTTTCAATATATTCACAATAAAAAATGCAAAATAAATACATTACGGCATATTTTATAATGAAAAAATATAATTGTAGAAAATTATATTAAAATCAAACTTTGAGTTTTATTTCCAATTTCTATTTTTTGTCATCTTTGTTATTTATATAATTTAAGATTAAAGCTTATAAGAAATAAAGCGCTAATAATTTAAGAGAATGTTGTATAGATCATACATTTTTTGCAACACATAAAATTTATGTCTATTAAGTTTTTAATATTTTCAAGATAACATATAGAATATAAAACATATTGTGAAGTAAACTGTAAAGTGTAATAAGCACAGGAAGTAATAAGTTATATGCAAACCCAAAGTGAAATCCAATTAGTGCAAACCAAGAGGAAAATATACACGCTTATAAATGAGCTTATATAGTAAATGTATGTATATATGTGTGTAACATGTAACAGATTTTATAATGTATCTAAAAATTTATTATAATAAAAAACAAAATGATTTTACTATGCTTGTTGTGTTAACAAGTGTCACAACATCGCTATTAATTTTTACATCCACATTTGATACGTTATCAGGTAATAAAATATTAAAGTTACACGACATTATGTCATAATCAGTGTTTGCTGTTATCTAGATGAAGTTATCTAGATAATAATTTAGATGAAGCAATTGCATTATCTCATCTTTATTTAGATAATAATAGGATGTATTATCTACATCTTTATCTTAAATGAAAAAAGCATCATTTACCTTAAATTATCTAAAAAGATAATGGCTGCATTCAGCAGAACTCAGCCCTTAGTAAGCGCTTTATGATTCTTTAATATGTTTGGTTCTTACATTTAGATCCAACGGAAAACCAAAAGTAAGATCCAATCATATTAAAGGATCACTAAGCACTGTATTCAGTGTGAAATTAAAGAATAGACTTAAAGTATGTTGCGTCATACTGCCTTGTGCGCGCGTGGTATTTTCTATTATTTTCACTGCCGAATGTGATTTTTTCAATTTTGTGCAATTTCTCTATTAGTAATATCATAGCGGAAGATAGAAAAGTATTTAATAAAAAAGTTTATAAATAAATATATATTATTTTAGTTGTCATAATTTTCCCTTAATTATTTTTTTTAAAGCTGTTATCTTAATATCATCTAGATAAAATGCTTTATAATTTCATCTATTATCTAGACAAACTTGAAATAAATCTTTATCTTATCTAAGATAAAATTGTATGTCTTATTTTATCTTTATCTAGATAATTTCAATATTATCTATGCAAAACACTGGTTATAATCAATATTGGTAAGTTATAGACAGATTTGTAAATTTACATGTGTAGTCATAATATGTATGTGTGTATACGGTAAATATAGTGATAATAGTGTAAACAGAAATTAGCACAAACACATACAAAATTCATCAATTCGTGTATCACAGACATATATAAATATATGTATCGAAAGATTTTGATGGAATAACTAATGATAGCGGTACATAGTTGTGTGTTCATAATATGAATATGTGATATGATTACAGGTCAAGATACAAGTTAACTGTAGATATATTCTATTCGGTTCTAAAGTGATAATTACGAGCTCATCGTTATTATCTCTGAATTAGCATATGACACAATGGTGCACAAAAAAATAATTTGTAATCTTTCTTACATTAGTTGTGTAATTTTTTTTTGTAATTGCAGTAACCCGGTCAGCCAAATTATACATCGATCATAAGATACCGAGCGCCGAGATTTTTCCCGCGAGATTTTTACTTACCCTTTCTTCTTAAACTTCTTGCGACCATCGCTGTCGCTATCGCGATTCGTCGCGAGCCTGTCGGGTTCCTTCCTGGAACGCCCGGATCTCCTAATGCCGTATATGTCAGGATTCTCGTCCCACTCACGGCTGGACTCATGTTTAACTCTAAGCTTTGTTTCTGTGCTGTGATTCGAGCTTTTGCTCTGGAAGCTATCACTTTGTGCAGCAGGTGCATCCGACTTCTCTGACTTTCCTGAATCAGAACCTGATCCGGAACCGGAACCGCTCGAGGAACTAGAGTCACTGCATTAGCAGCCAGGCAATATTTCACTAATTATGTACGGACGTCACAAAGAGAGAGAGAGAGAGAGACACATAGTCTTTCGAAATATACTTATTTAAAATCATAATTAATATACTCTAAAACAAAGCAACTAAAATAAATAAAAATAATTATAGATGTATAAAATTGTTAACAATTATTGAATATATATTGTAATCCAAGTTTTTGCTCATTGCGCGTGAATATTTATTAAGAAATGTATGAAACTCAACCTCTATAAGGTTTTATTTAATTTTGATTTTTTTAATGATCTGCGCATTGCGGATGGATGCCAGATATAATTAAGCGTTAATCTCAAATAATTCAATCTCTAGAATGTGTAAATTTTTTATAAAATGATAAAGGATATATAGATTATAGATAAGGATAAAAATATATTATATGATTATAAAACATATATATATGTAGAATTCATATATAATTATTAATAATTAAAGAAGACATATATGTACATCTTTTTTCTATAATATTACTAAATACAAAAATCAAAATATTGAAAATTAGAAAATAAAAATGAATACATTATAATATGTTGCAATGAAATTTTCCAAGATATGATATATTTCGAAATACTATTTTTAATGTGAATAAAAAATGTATTTAATAATTTTATAATTTTACACCGAAATTTGTATTATTGACTAATCAAAAGTAACGAATAATGCTACAAGATAATAGCAGAGTTTACCTAGCATTGCACAGATGATTTTCGAGTACAAGAAAGCAAACATTATGACACAAGTAGGATATATATATATAAAAGAATTGTGCTCACACACACAAAATCCAAAATAAAAAATGGTACATAAAATTAGCAAAATTGTTAAGACGTTGTTAGAGCTATATAAGAAAAGCTGTAGCAATACACAAGTAGCTAATTGTGAATGGCACTAATTTTGATAAAACCCCTTACACAGAAGAGAAACCTGATATGTACTTGTATTCAGTTCAATCTCTTATACTTTGTCGCATATCAATATCACATATTTTAACTCTATCCGTTCTATGCTAAATAAAATAGACATTTGCCTCAACAATACAATAACCATTAATAAGTTAACCTAATTAATAAAGTATTAAAAAAAAAAATATATATATATATATATCTTAAAAAATTATAACAAAGAGATATAAATAAAATAAAATTTTTTATTTTATTTTCTTAAATAAAATCTGAAACTTGTCTAAAGCTAAGAAAACAATTTCCAAATATATCGAATACGTTTTCCGAGCATGAAAAGTACATAAAATTACACTGATGCAAGTTTATATATCAGGTCTCGCGATTTTCAGGGGAATGACCGAGTCTTGCCTATACTCACCTGTCAGATCCTGATCCTGAGCCACTATTGCTTCCGGAAGAGGAGCTATCGCTTTTGCTATCATTCTCCGAATCGGATCCGGATTCCTTACCAGATTCGGATTCTAATGTTTTCTGCAAGTTAATGTGGCTACATGTGATTCTAATTTCATCTTTATACTAAATATCGCTCGCCATGTGTTGTTTGGAATAGTTCATCCCCCAAGTATCGCTTATTACCATAATACTTTAAAGTCTTAAAATTTTCATCAGAGATTTTTTTTTCTAAATCGATGATACAATTATAATAATGGACAAGTAAATCCGCTAAAGTTAAAAAAAGCAGTCGAATTTTTTTGCGCTTTTTCTCTTTTATTTCCTTAATCAGCCCGAAATATCGCAGAAATATCGCTGCTAGCAAACTCATCATTAAAACAGCCCGTCTTTCATTTTGTGACTGTCGTCTGCCATTTTGTTTTTTCATAAGTGCAATTTTCCTAAGAAATTTTTTAAATAATTGCTTTATACTTCTACAATATAATTTTTGCCTAAATAAAAGAGCAACAAGAGATATAATAATACGCATGTGCAATATTTAACATACTCTTAATATTAAAGTCTACGGAAATTCTTCATATATCTAACAGGGAAACCCCTTGTTTGTTCATATTGAATGAATTTTTTATGTCTAGCAGAGGAATTATTCTTGCGCATCCTCTTTTATTTCCTTAATCAGCCCGAAATACCGCAGAAATATCACTGCTAGCAACTCATCATCACAACAGTCCGTCCTTCATTTTGTGATTGCCATTTTCTGCCATCGTCTGCCATTTTGTTTTCTCATAAGTGCAATACGAATTTCCTAACAAATTTCTTAAATAAATTGACTTATACTTGTATGATATAATTTTGGCTTAAATAAAATAACAACAAGAGATAATAATACGCATTTGCAATATTTAATATACGCTTAATATTAAATTCTACGGGAATTCTTCATGTATCTAACAGGGGAATTCCTTGTTTGTTCATATTCAATGAATTCTTCACGTGCCTAGCAGAGAATTTTTTTCTTGTTTGTCCATGTTTATTCTTGTAAGATTAAATACAAACAAAATTTTTATGAATTCCAATGTATTTTGCATCCGTTTGTCACAAATGCATAACTGCAGTCATTTCCAATGTTATTTGCATAGAAGGAACATGTATGTAAAGGTGTTTAATCTAGGTCTGGACACTAATAATAAATATATAATAGAAATCGCCACACATTGTAGTATATTTATATATTTATTAAATATTTCCATAAAATTACATCTCGATCAGTGACCAAGACATCTAAATGCATACATAAACATATGATTAATAACACGTTTATATATTATTTAATTTAATTTATAACAGATTGTACACTATATGCTATGTTGTATATTATTTAATTTGTATATTATATATTCCATTATTTTTAAAAAGATGAAAATTTATCAATATTAATCTTATATAATGTTAATAAAAACGTTACCTACGATTTTATTAATAAAAATGTTATCTACGATTTTATTCAAAGTACTAGTATTTTATGAAATATATGTACATTGTAACTGTAGAGAAACACTATATAACAATTTCATTCATCTGCAAATTTATATATCAGTGGATAATAATATAATAGTTATGTAACTATGAAGATATATTGAAGAAAAATGCTAAAGTTATAACATATAGAGAGCAAACTAAAATTCTCTTTTGCAATCAATGTAGAGTTTCATTCGCTTATCCATATCAATTGAATATAAAGTAAAGATTCCTGGCTTTTTTTTCTGTAACAGAAGTTAGCAATACATACTATATTTCCAACCTATACATCACCAGTATAGCGTGTGATTAAACATTAAAATAAACCAGACTATAGACTACAACATTGTTGACATTGTGAACCATTGTTAAAAATATATGAGTATAAAATTGATAGTTTTATTTACAATATATTTTTATAAAATTTCATAAAATGTATAAAATAATGTGTGTAACATATTATAAAAAAATGTATGATTGATACAAGACTTCGAGCTTGAATATTGTTAAAGAAACAGTTAATTTTGTAAACTAATATAGTTAATTTTGGTTGTGTTTACTCAGCGTGTTCAATCTTATTATTAATGCATTATGATAACTCGTAGGTATATTTCATTAATTAAGATAAATGAAGTATGAAAAGAGAGATGTAAACATGATTAAGTAATTATTGAATTCGTATACAATTATTATAGACATCTACATACAACGCTGCTGTCAAAATCATGATAATTTTCATATTCTATATGACATATAGCAGCAGAAACATATAAGAAATATATTATTTTAAAATTTTACCAAATTTTTACGATGTATATTAACTGAACTTGTTACTATCTCAAAAATTACATATTTTCTTGAAGAAATTGTTATTTAACAAGTGTACATTTGCTTTTAAAATTACTTTTATGACATGTCAAGACAAATCTATCATCAAATTGAATCAAATGTATCATAACGCAATATAATTTCATCCAAAGTACGCTTTATTATTGTATATAGTATACTTTATGATATAATATGATCATCGCTATTATGAAACACGAATGCAAAAGAAATTTATGATTACAATAGGACCCCAAGAATGGCATATGCAGGCTTTTACAGCATACACAAAGGTTATAAAACCCCTTGACATACCCAATCATGTCTCAATCATACACTAAAATTGCAAAATTGCAATCAAAATTTCTGTGAGAAACTTTCAGAGGTTGAAACCATAGAGTATTTCTGGCACTATCCTAATAAAAATGCGTTAAAATAATGGACAATTGCTGCGAGAATCGTTTTGTACATTCCTGATTACCATACAAAACTGTACGCGACGATATTCCAGCTCAATTTGCAAAAATGGGTACATTTTTGATTTTCGAATAAGCATGACACTAGGCCGAAGGAAAGTGTGAGGAATCGTTTACGATGAAAATTAGAATGGTACAATGATATTTTCTGTGAAAAATGTCACGTTAACGCGACGTAAACAAACCTTATAGGTTATTGGGAGACTGGAAAAGTGTGTAAAGTCGCGAAAAATCGTGGTAAAGGAGGGTCAAGTTCCTGAGTCCGGACGGTCCGGGGGACCCCGCCCTACATGTAGAAACCCTTCGCGATCGAGCTGCGATGATTTTTTCCAATTTTTGCGACATTTTTCTCGAACATGTAGACCGAAACGCATACGAGCAACAGCGATTTTCCCCTATTCCAAACAACTCCACGGCGGCGACGCATAATTTGCACGCACTCATAAATGCACGCATAAACGCATCGTCGTTTCGTACGCGATGATAATTATCGCGAAAATCCGCGAACACGCGGATAAAATCGCATATGAATCTCAGATGTTCCGGAGGTGCACTCACCTGCATGGTCCCGTCTACGCGTCGCACCGACAACCGTCGTATTCTTAACGATCCGCATACAAATCGCGCCAAATCCAGTAGTATCACCGTCACGCGTACACGTGTCCGCGATAACAGATCGTTATTGATGTCGGCGGTTCGACATTACGGCAAACTATTCGAGTATCGTGTACTGTATGGTCACGGACTTGCGAGCTAGACCGCCATTTTGTGAACTCGAGTCGCTTCTTCTCACTCTCCCCTCCCCCCATCTCCACGACCATCGTCCCGACATGCAACGCGCGCGCCATCTCGTCACCAGATCCTACCCCTCGTCAGCGAATTCCGTCGCCGCAGCGTTAAGACGATAAAGGCTATTGGACGCGGCGGCAACGGATCAGCTGGGAGGGAGAGAGAAGGATGAAGCGGCGCATGCGTCGTACGATCCTTCGGCTATGCGTGCGTGCGTGCGCGGACCGGAAAAGCAATTATTAAAGCGTAAAAAATATCTTTTGTAAAAAACTTTCGCGATGTAAAATGTCGCGATAAGAGGCGAATTTATTCAGAGAAAATCATCCTGCGATTTTTTTCGCGTCGATTCGACGATCCGAGCGTTGGATACTTTATAACGAACTAAACAGACACGACATCGAATGCGGACACGACCTCGAAACGGAAATCTCTCGTCCGACAGCCATTTTGAGCAGCAGCAACGATTTTACCCAGAATGCGTGCGTCACGAC